TTTTCTTGATATTCATCAAGCAGCCAAACTTTAGGAGTTATGAAAGAACTATATACCTATGTGTGCCTGCCTTCTGAGGGTCTAAGGCTATCAGAAGTAGATCCTCCAGATAATGGAACCAGGTGGAGTTCTGGACTCTCAATAACATTATAAGCACATAGAAAGATTCTTGGGGCCGCATTGAGGCCAAATGGAAGGGCACTAACATGGAAGTTCTCTTCTGAGCTAATGCCGAAGATCTCTGCAGATTGGACTGAAAGTAAGCATCCTTGAGATATATAGAGGTAAGGAAATTATCCTTCCAGATTGCTTGATATATGGATCTGATTGACTCCATCCCAAAGACTCTAACATTCAGCTTCTTGTTGGCCCCTCTTAGGTCCAGTGTAGGCTTTCATGTGCTTTTCCTCTTAGCACCAGAAGAGAGGCGAAACTTGTCCCTGGAACTGCTCTTGTTCTGGGACCTAAAAAAAAAAAAAATCACCTCTTCGTCCAGAAGGCTTCTTCCTTCAGTGCTTTACCTTTGGATTCATTGGTCTTAATACTGTTGGTATGGAGACTCCTGTGCCCGTTAAGAAAAAACTCCAGTCTATATCAATCTGGACCATGGATACCATTCAAGCCTCCAGAGTATGACGAGCCCAGGTATGTGTGATCAGAAAAATTATGCTCCTATTACTGGAGAAGATATTTTCATTGCTGAAGAGCAAAACAAATGCGTTCTAGCTCCATTAGAACCTTGAAAGGCAGGTTTACCAACTGCCATGAGTTACCTCTGGAGTATTCCCTGCAGGGCCAGTAACTACCTGTATCTCAGAAATACTGGTCACTGGAGGTTCTCCGGTCAGACTATGAGGAGCTGGGATCCTTGGAACTTCCATCCTAAGGTACCAATATCTTGCAGCCCTCATTCGCCTTTTCAATGGAATTATCCAAAGTTTTCCCAAACAGCACCACCCCTTCAAATAGGATGGTGTAGAGGGCAGACTTGGAGGATGAGTCATCATCCCAGAAACAGAACCATAATGCTTTCTTAGCTGCTATAGATAAAGCCATTTGATCCAGAGGATATCCTAGTTACCTCTAGGGAAGTTTCTGTGAAGAAGTCAGTTGTAACCTGAAGACTTCAGACTGCCTCTTCAATCTTGGCTTTTAATATCTCGCTCCATAGTAGCCTTTAGATCTTTAATCACATATTTCATGTTTGTAGAAACAGCAGCGGAAATCACAGCTAGCTGGCTTCCTGAAATGGTAGGCGTAAAATTTTGGACAGGTCTGCGTCCACCTATGATCCATAAGTGTGCAACTTAGGTGGTGTAGTTCTGGGGTTGGAAATAACTTCCTCCACAGGTTAAAGCCTGGCCTCTTTTCTTACCCCTAAGGCCTCTGGAAGTTACTTTGTAAGCCCTGCCCGCATGTCATGTGGCTGCACAGTGATAGGTCACGCTGAAGCGACAACCTTCTGGAGGAAGTCAGTACATAACCGATTCCATCCACTGTTTTCTCCTCATAACCAGATCCTGGTGAAGAATCAGACACCTGACAAATAATAATAACTAAATATTACCTGTGGTAAAGTATTAAGAAAAAATGTGCACTGTTAAATTCTATAAGAAACCAGCGAAACCGCTATTAAAACAGGCTAAAGACAGCACTTATCCATGTCTCGAGACCCTGCAAATACTTACCAAATAAGTGTGGTATGTTTACTGTAATTTTCCCTTTATTTTAGGCACTTTCTGGCAATTGCCCTTATCCAAGATGGCTGCCACAACTTGTATTCCCACAATGCAAGTCATCTGTATTAGGCCCAATAAGGCACAAACTGCACACATGTGGGCCTATTCTGAGTGTGTTTGCTGTTTAGAGACCAGGGAGAGGACTCTGTCTGAAGCCTACATGGCCCCTAAACACCCAGGGAACAAATCACTGGGAAAGAGGGAAAGCAAAATAGATAACAAAAGTGCCTGCAAGGAAGTTTAAAAGGCAACCACGTGCAAAAAGTCAAAGTTTAAAGGCACCACAGTCTAAAGGCTTCAAGGTATAAAAGGTAACAGTTTTCAAATCTAACAGTTTCCAAAACGTAACACAGTTTTTAAAATATATCAGTCTTCAAATGCACTGCAGTTTTCCAATGCACTGCGGTTTCCAATGACTTGCGGTATTACATGCAACAGTATTAAATGCAAATTTAAATGAAATAGTTTTAAATGCCACACAGCTTAAATGCAACACAGCTTAAATGCTTCCTAGCAAAAGCACAACCGCATAATGTACCACAATCTTAAAAATAAGGTACAGCTGTACAATGCACTCGTTTAACCCCTTAAGGACACATGACATGTGTGACATGTCATGATTCCCTTTTATTCCATAAGTTTGGTCCTTAAGGGGTTAAAGATATCAAAGCTTAAATGCATCACAGCATAAAAGCACAACTGCATAATGTACTACAGTAAAACAGCAAATAAAGTAATGAAAATAAAACAACATACATGTCCGTAAGTAAAGGGAGCAAATTGCTCACGTCCTAAGGGCTGTAGGACAGGAAAAAGACTGAGGACCTTAGGGATGGAGCCTCCTTTTAAAACCTTGGTGGTTTTCCTGTCCTATCGGCTGTAGGGGAGGAGCTAACCCATGTGTATATGCTGCCATGATTAGCCAGGAAATACATACATATACACACACACACATATATATATATATATATATATATATATATATATATATATATATATATATATCACACACACACATATATATATATATATATATATATATATATACACACACACACACACACACACATATATATACACACACACATATATACACACACACACATATATACACACAAAAATAAAAACACACATCCATAAATATACACCTAATTATTTTTTTTAAGTCTATGTGTATATTTATGTAATATTTTTACATAATTAATTGATTTTATTAATTACAATTTGAGGAATCTGCAAGCCCTATAATTTAATTGGCAAGCCCTATATTTAACCTTGTAACTTTCCAAAACACATTAAAACCTGTACATTGGGGGTACAGTTTTACTTGGAAGATTTTGCTGAACGCAAATGTTTTAAAAAGATGAAAGCATATCATGACGATGAGATCATCAGTGAAATTGCAGCTTTTCTGTAAAAAAAAAAAAAAAATGCAATAAAAACCAAATGAACGCTAACTTTGGCCAGGGTTCGTGACTAGGTGGCTACTTACAAAGACTGAACATACCCCATTTTGAATACCCTGGGTTGCCTACCATGATGGGGGTAATTCTTATTCCTGGGCTGCCATACAGTTTCTAAGGCAAGATAACAAATCTGGCAAATTTCAAATGGCAAAAAAGGAAATTGGCAAGTCTTGTATTTGACAAATATGTGCGTTTTATTGTAGGAAATGCCAACAGTATTATGACATTCACAGTTAAAATGTAAGTAACACAATTTCTTAATTTCTCACACTTTTTTATTTTATTCATATTACATTGTTTCATATTTGAATATTTGATTTGAAATGAAAGCCCTGTTTCTTCTGAACAAAATGATATCTAATAAGTGTGAGTGCACATAATATGAAAGAGGTAAATGATGGTTGAACAAACAAAGTGCTAATTCCAGGATTTGTTTTGATTTTAACAAAGAAATAATATGTACAGGGATTCTCACCAAAAAACAGGGTGAAAATCACTATCACTTGGATATAAAAGTAGTCATATTGGTAAAGTATAATAATGACAGAAGTACTGCAGTGAGATAAAATGTCTTGACTTAAAATAATATACACCAAAAAAAAAAAAAAGCAAATAAATGACAACCTAGTAAGGTATGCTCCCACGTCTACAGATATGTAGCAGCTCAAAATGTCTATGTCAAAACAGAGTTAAGATAAATTGATAAAATTAGCTCTCAAAGTAGGAACTCTGCTAGATCCTTAGTTATATAGAGTCTGCTACATAAAAAAACAAGTCTATCCCGGTAGATGATATAACCTGTATGGTAAGTGGTACTATAAGTATAGATATCTGTCCTATCCAAGAGGGGAAGGTAAAGTCTTTTGATCCCTAAAAGGGAGACAGGATAATTAAGCCTTACCATAGTTCTAAAAATATGTAAAAATACAATAAAAAAGGTATATTATCATATAGCTCAAATAGAAGAGATATATGCCTATATCTTTAGAATAAACCTGGGGGACAGGTACTAGCAAAGTATGAGGTAGAGAGGAAGATAGTAACAAGAGGTCTAATGCCATACAAAATGAACTGGCAATGATTAAGTTAAAAAGCCTCTCTCCCTTAAAAACTAGCTAGATAGGCGTAGAAGCAACAAGTAATGAAAGAAAATGTATAACATACTTATAAAACAAATATGCTTAAAAATCTAAAGTGCTGTGCCCAGTGCCCATAATCAACGGAGAATAATGCCTGACACGCATTTCGGTGCAATGCTAACTGCACCTTCATCAGGGGCAAGTGGTGTAATGGCCAAGATCCCTATTATATAAAAGGAAGTCCCAAATGCATTCATGACTGAACCACCAATCACCTAGCCGGATAACCCATAGAGGGTATTACGGTGAATTACCTTCCAATTCATCCCAGGTGCTAAGAGACGTAATTTCAGACAAAGGATTGCCATTGGTTATGGCAGATGGTAAGAAAGACGTGGTTTGCTCATAGTGATTCAGTCAACTCCGTATAAACCTCCAGTATGAAGTCAGGAGGCGGAGTATGAATCTCAGGGATCAACTTGCGCAGCCGTGGTACGAAAATAATGGTTTATTCAACCCCATAGGAAGCCTCCAATAAAGGGGCAGGAGGTGGAGCATGAATCTCCTGGAGTAAGAATGCCTGTCCATCAAAGAGAGCCACCAATTACGCAGCCGCAGGAGGGCGGGGCTTATGGATACGGAGTCCAACTCCCATCATTTCCAATCCACATATAGCAGCCAAAATGGTAGAAATCTATGATGCCTGAATGTTATACCATATATTCATACACACACTATATGATAACGTGTTTGGGATGGAGGTATTTCAAACATTAATCCGACGAGCATCTTATCTTGTAGAAAAGTCTAACAACTACATTAAATAAAATAAATCAAATAAACATATGAAAAGCCCAGGAAAATACTTAGTATAGTGGCCATATACAAACACATAAAAGCTTTTCCATATGGTACCCACATCCAAGCTATGTTGACGGATGACATAGAGCATATCAGAAAGGTTAGAAAACAGTGTCCCTTGGTCTACATGGATACTGGGTGTCAGGTCCATGTGTGTAATGCCGGAAAGTAGTTGTGGTGTATAGGCAAACTGAAACATACATTAAAAGGGACAGTAGAAAGGATAGCCATATGGATCCAGAACTACAATGTATCCAATAGTACATCGGAGGGCAAACGTCTCATTGACCTCCAAAATATTTATTAATTGGTGATGATACATATGGGTATCTACAAATATTTTCTAACTATAATGCAATAAACTAAAAACTAAGACTACTATATACATTATGTACAACAGAATCGGCCATAGGGGATAATACAGGTCACTTATTCAGAGATAAACGATATGTATGAGAAGCCCTTATTGAGTCCTAGTGGTGACAAGGTTTTATGCTTGTATATCCAGAAACTTTCCCTTAGTAGGAGTTTCTTATCCAGGTCACCACCTCTAGGGCCAAGTATTACTTTTTCAATACCTGAGAACCTAATCCCTTCTGATGAGCCTCCATGATGTAACTTCAGGTGCTTTGAGATAGGGGTATCGATCAGTCTCTTTGGGTTTATTGAGTTCACATGTTACCAGATTCTAAGTTTAAAGTTTCGGGATGTCTTGCCAACGTATAATTTTTTTACATGAGCAAGTGAGCAGGTATACCAAACCCTTGGATTGGCAATTAAAGAAAGTTTTAGTACTGAATTCATGGTTATTTTCTGAGTCCGTGAAGGTTTTGGATAGTCATAGTATAAACTTACAAGCTTTGCATCTAGCGCATTGGTAGAGCGCATTGGTAGAGCGCATTGGTAGGTGCCTACTACAGGAGATTTGAGCCAAGTAGATCTAGTAGGGGTAGTATCTAGGTGACTTGGGACAAGAATGTCCTTTATGTTTCTACCCCTTCTTGCTGTTACTGAGACATGGGGAGTTATTACTTGATGTATATGTGGGTCCTGATGTAACAAGAGCCAGAATCTTCCTGTAATCTTCATAATAGGATGTCAACCAGCATCAAAGTTCCCTATACATCTAATAGTCTCTGATGTAGGTTTGCTAGGTGTCTTTTCCATAAGAAGCTCTTTCCGGTCTGATATAAGTGCACGTTTATACACCACCTTGCGGCATCTTTTGGATACCCCTTACTTCTAAACAGCTCCTTGAGTACCTTCGCTTTCTGTTTAAAATCAAGTGTGGAACAATTGCGTCGAAGGCGCAAATACTGTCCCACTGGTATACCTTTCTTAAGGGCTGGTGGATGATTAAGAAAGTTGTTGGTTGCTGTGGGTTTCCTAAATAGTGTGGATGAAATGCATCCCTCGTCAGTGATCATAATAGTGATGTCAATATAATTTAGCTACTTCCCACCTATTTCAAAGGTCAATCTAAAGTTTATGTTGTTGTGATTGAGTACCTCCACAAACTCTCTAAAAAGTTCCACAGTGTCTGTCCAAACTATCAAGATGTCATCAATGTATCTTTTCCATAGTTTGTCTGGTATAACTCGCAAGATTGGTCCCAAAAACCGTGACCTTTTCCCACCAGGCCATTTGGAGGTTGGCATATGAGGGGGCACAAGCCGTCCCCATAGCCGTCCCTGTCACCTAGTCATAGTACTTCCTTTGATAAATGAAAATTATGAGTAAGGATAAAATGCATCAAATCCTGTACAAATTGGTTGTGTCTAAAGGATACTGTCGGTTGTGTACTTAACCCCTTAAGGACCAAACTTCTGGAATAAAAGGGAATCATGACATGTCACACGTCATGTGTCCTTAAGGGGTTAAAAAGGCTTTCAGATGTTCGAGACTTACTTGATATGGTATTGAACTATATAGGCTCTTTACATCCAGACTACATAGAATCGAATTGTTGGGGAAATGTATCCCATCTAAGGTATTCAAAGTATGTTTTGTGTCTCTAAGATATGAAGGAAGTCCCATGACCGTTTTTCTCAAAATCTGATCTATGTAGACACTTCTGTTCTGAGTCAGATTAGATCTTCCCAAAACAATTGGTCTACCAGTAAGTACAGGCTGTTGCTTATGTACTTTTGGTAGTGAGTAGAATGTAGCAGTCATGGGGCTTTTTATGAATATAAAATTCTGTTCATCTTTAGAGATTAGTGATAGAGAAAATGCTTCATCGAAGATGTATTTCAATTCCGACAAGTACTTTCTAGTGAAATCTCCCTTTAGCACTTCATATGTATCCTCATCCTCTATGAGTCATTGTACCATGGATATGTACTCTGTCTTATCCATAACTACAACATTGCCACCTTTGTCAGAAGGTTTAACGATGATGTCATCCATCCCCCTCAGTTGTTTAAGCGAGGTCTGTTCTCGAGGTGTAATATTACTGCACGGTTGGGTCAGAAGGTCTTGTTTGTTTAATTTTTAAATTTCACTACATGTTAGCTCAACAAATTGATCTATGTATTTAAATTCTACAAGATGTGGGTTGAATTCACTCTTTTTCTTGAGCTGTGTGAAAGGGGGTTGAGGGTGCTCAGGCATGTCATTGCTGGACAGAAGATCAACCAGTGTATCCAATAGAATTATATTAGATGTTTGTAATCCTTGGTTTTTGGCTCTCTTCTCCTCCCTAATGCGGTGAAATTTATGGAGGACAAGTTTCCTCGCAAAAAGATGTATGTCCTTTGTCTAACTGAATTTATCAAACTCAGATGTGGGGATGAAGGACAGACCTCTCTGTAGTACTTGTATTTCAGATGTAGTGAGGGTATGGGAAGAGAGGTTGATATCTTTTCCTCCTGTATTGTGGTGGAGGTCGAGAGCGACTCCTTGTCTAGGGGGTATGGGGGAAGGAGTGCACTGTCTTCCATGTTTGGTTGTCCTAAAAAAAGACACCCCTCTTTTGAGAATACGTTTAGTATTTCGTTCAGGGATATAGGACGTGCCTTCCCTGTTTGAGTCAGATTCTGAGCCATTCGTCTCATATTCAGACGTCGAGAGTGGTTCAGAGAAACTTTTCCTTTTTCTCTTATATCTCCTGTATATATGTTACCACTCTTGAAGTCTTTACTATCTCTTATAAATTTTGAATGTTTACATATTTTGATATTATATTGGAACTTATCTAGATTGTTCTTTAGTTTAGTTTCTAATGGATCGAAATTGGATTAGTTCTTAAATTTTTCAATTTGACTAATCTGGTCATCAACCTCTTTTTTTTTTTCAAACTCTTAGATTCAAATTTACATAGAATCTCCATAAATCTTTTAGAGCAGTTTAGAAAATTGGGCAGATTAGATGGGCCGAATGGTTCTTATCTGCCGTCACAGTCTAGGTTTCTATGTTTCCTGCTGCTTCGTCCCATTCTTTAATAAATTCTTCCTCCTTGATATGTGTTGCTGGGATGTTTTGTACTCTGAGGCCTCTAGGTATCAAATCTTTTTTGAGGTAATTTTCTAGTGAGGCTATTTCCCGCCCAGTTTTGATTTGTTGTTTGAACAAATTAGTCAAACGATTAAAGGAAGCGATAATGTCATCACTGGCTGAGTTGTTGCTAAGAGTTGTTGTGATCAAAACGTGCACAATTGGCTCCGTCCTTAAGGGATTAATAATACATATCCTAATGGCTATTTACTAATATACTTCTATGTGACTAAAAACATGATTATTAAGTGTTTCTGGAGGTTAGCAGCTAAACAGATTGTAATCTTAAAGAAAATATACCAGGACAAATGCATCCTTATCTAAGGTGTATCAGAGGCAAACTAGCAGAACAAACGTAAAGTAGCTGGGTGGAGCTACAATTGTTCCATGCACATGGAGGATTTGGGAGTTAAGAAAATAAACTAGGAAACAATGTGCAATGTCAGTTGACAATTGCTAAGGCCAGTAAGGTATGGTCATGTATAAACAGAGGCACTCATTTTCAAGATGAAAATATAATTGTGCCTCTTTATAAATCACTGGTAAGACCAAACCTTGCATATGCTGTGCAATTGTGGCCACCTATTCTAAAGGATATTATGGGACTAGAAAAAGTGCAGAGGCAGGCTACAAAATTAAAAAAAAAAGGAACATTTTAGTTATGAAGAAAGGTTAACAAATGTTTGAAGAGGATTTGATAACATTATAATATATATTTAAGGAAAATACAAACCATTGTCTGAAAATCTATTCTATAAACAGGACAATACATAGGACACAAGGTCACGCATTTAGACTGGAAGAAAGGAGATTTAGGCTAAGACAAAGGAAATGGATTTTTACAGTAAGAACAATAAAGATGTGGAAATCTCTGCCTCAAGAGGTGGTTTTATCAGAGCTACAAATATGTTTAAACAGCAATTGGGTGAATACTTGCAAAAACATAATATTCAGGGTTATAATTTTTCTTCATTAATGGGGTAATAGTTTCTTGATTAAATAGTATACTAGATTGCAATAACATTAGGTCCATACTCCTGATATATGTTTTGATGGTTTACATGCTATATATTGCACAATGTAATCATATTGCTTATTTTAATATTACACTAGATCCTAATACAATACTATTGTTTAATATATATGATTATTACAAATATCGTGGCATCTTAATGTATTTTAATATTACCAGCATTGAATGTATATTAATGTGTACAGACCTATTATTTACGGATATTTCTATTTTTCCGCTATGTATGCCCACAACCAATATGGCTAACAAGCAGGATTTGCCCTGACCTGCTGAGTGCAGACTGCTTAGTTGGTGAACCTCTCCCCTCTCTTTAAAGAGCTCTTTGTAGTGTGTGTGCCTTCATTATGTGTTTTGCGGTTTATAATATTTAAAATACATTTTACACCACTGTATATTTATTTTGTTTGGTTTTGACATATTCAGCACTATTACGGAAGACTTCCTCTGACATATGCATGTTTAGAAGAAACTACTCCATTAACCCCTTAGTGACCAGACCGCTTTTCAGTTTTCTTACCATTAAGGACTAGAGCTGTTTTTACATTTCTGCGGTGTTTGTGTTTAGCTATAATTTTCCTCTTACTCATTTACTGTACCCACACATTATATACCGTTTTTCTCGCCATTAAATGGTCTTTCTAAAGATACCATTATTTTCATCATATTAGATAATTTACTATCATTTTTTTTATAAAATATAATGAAAAAAAAAATGATAGGGTAATAAGTACATGTAGAATTTTGCTATTTCCAAACCAAGTTGCATTGTAATACTGATATGTCAGGAATCCCTGAAAAACCCTTCACATGTATATATATATTTTTTTTTTTTTTTAAAAGAAGACAACCTAATGTATTAAACCTGGGGTATTTTGACTCTTTTCATGCAACCATTTTACCACCAATCTATGCCAAATTAAAAAAAGAATAATTATAATAGGTGATTTTTTTGACACACGTAACAATTTAAGAATACATGTACTGAGAACTTTAAGGGTTACTGCCAAAGAACACCCAAATATGTGTTCAGCAACATTTCCTGAGTACAAGGATCCCACCCATGTATAGGTGTGTCGGGTTCTCTGTGGGCTAAAAGACCTTATTTGGATGGTGCGCATTCCAGTTTTCCAACTTGAAATTTTCACAGTTGGTCATCATGCACTCATGTCCTTTTTGGGACATTTTTGAAGCTGGCCAATGTAATTTACCCCCATCAAACCATATATTTTTGAAAAGTAAACAACCCAGGGTACTCAATATGGCATATATCTGTCAGGATTACAGAATGATCCCGCACGTAGAATTGTGTAACACAGAGGACTGATAGGTAACGTGTACCGGACCTTAGAATGGCCGGACTAACGTACCAAAGAATAGTCAGGAATAGCCGTGGTCAAGGGAAATAGAAAGAGACACAACGATAGGATTGAGCAAGGACATATCAAGGACACATTAAAGGTATTAGGAATTTTCAAGGAGGCCGGAAGGGTCAGAGAGTACGCAACAGGATTGAGCAGGATGAGAACTGGGCCTAAATACCCCTCCTCTAGATCTGATAGGCTGACCCCAAAGGCAGTTACCAGGTTCCATTTTGCATAATTGCTGCTCAGCATTAACCCTTCTGTGGATTTGGTTGCTGCTCGGCACAACTTTTCCTGTGTTGACAGTAAATGTCATTAACCACATTTTTATAAGCGGATGAATACGTGACCGTATCCAGTCTTTTTTAGTAGCCACATACTCACAAACACTAGCAAAAGTTAGCATTTATATTTGTTTGTGTGTTAAACGCAAAAAAACAAATTATGAATGCTAAATTTGGTCAGTGTTTGTGACTAAGTGACTACTAAAAAAGACTGAACATACCCCACTTGCAATACCTTGGGTTGTCTACTTTTGCAAATAGTATGCCATTATGGGGGTAATTCTCATTCCTGGGCTACCATACGCTCTCAAAGGCAACATAACCAACCTGGCAAATTTCAATGTGAAAATCAAGCCTTATATTTAATCCTGTAACATTCAATATAAAACCTATACATGGGGGGTACTGTTATACTTGGGAGACTTTGCTGAACACAAATATTAGTGTTTTAAAAACAGTAAAACGTATCACAACAATGATATCCTCAGTGAAAGTGCCGTTTGTGTGTGAAAAAAAGCAATCCAGGTGGAGCAACATCGAGGCAATGCTGCAATACTGCTAGAGCGGCTGGAAGCGATCATGATCACTTCCAGCACTCTAATTAGCCACGGACGTATCAGGTACATCCGTGGTCCTTAAGGACCATTTTTTGTCGGACGCACCAGATACGTCCTTGGTCAGGAAGGGTTAAAAAGATAACACTTGTGAGTTAAAGATATATTTTGGCGCGGTTTATCAATTTTGTATTGGGTTTTTGCAAAGAAGAGATCTGACTTCCATTCTGGGGTCAAAAAAGACGTTTTCCTAGTTTGTTGCACAATCGTAAGTGCTTCAAACTCATTCTTTTGCCTTCTTTTGGATCAACAGCAAAAACAGATGTGAGAAAGATTGAACTTTATGTTTCATGTATGAACTTTATATATTTTCAGCTATGTAGCTATGCAAGTACATGTGACTAGAGAAACCGGAAAAAAAGATGTGAATTAGCAATCAGCAGCTGAAGTGGAACCACAATCAGGGAAAGGACGATTAATTGGCGTGGATGTAGCTGGTTAAGAAGGTGCACACCCACGGATCCACCAATGAAGAAGCACATTACCACAATTTATGTGGGCACAGGGGAGAGAGGAGTTATTGTAGCTTTGTTTTGTCATGCTTTATAGCAAGGTTCCTGAGGATGTAGATTTCAATATACAAAATGCATAGGACCATATTGTGTTTTTGTTATATTTTATTTCATTTAAATAAATAATTTTATATTTTCTACAACCTGACACTTGTTTTAAAGTGGAGTAAAGTACTTCCCCATGGCGCGAGGAGAAAGCTAAAGAGAACAAAAATGGGAAAAGTGAACATCAAAGGCCCCATCTACATCGAGGGGAGGCACCAGTGAGACCTATATATTCAAACATTCCTGAAAGTGTAATCAATATCAGCTTTAAAACAGTATTAAGCCATGTCTTATTTTTATTTCAGAGTTTAGATAAGCAGCAACCCCAGAATATAATGTACTTTTATACATTCTCAAACATCTAGCAGAGGTCTTCAAGGGATATTGCTGTACTCAGACGCAGTTGCAGAACACACATTTTTGGATTTTACAGTAGTGTGTCACACAGTCTGTGAAATTCCCCATAATTTGTTTTTACTTTTATAAAAAATACAAGCAATTTAAATATAATTAGCAGATCTGGTAAGGGGTGGTAAAATGTTTAAATGAAAAGGGTGAAAATGGTTAATTACATTAAAATTAAATTACCAAAAAAAAAAAAAAAAAATAGCTTCTATTTTAAAAATTATATATACTTTCCCACAGTGGTTTGGAAAATGTGACTGCTATTCAAATTGGAGACTTAGCAGACCAAAGTTTGCATGGTTTAGTTTGAAATATTGTTCTATAGCTTCCAAAAAGTGACTGAACTCCTAGACGTTGATGATATTTTAACAATTAGGACTAATAAGATAAGGAAAATAAAATCTAAATTGCGGGACTAACAAGGCAAGTCAAAGCAGATTAACAGAAAAATGTGTCAAAGCCACAAATATCAAATGTGTGAGGGCAATGAAGAATATGCAGGTCCCCAATTTTACAGAAGATCTTATGGAGCCTGAAGACTGCAAACATGAAAATTACACAATAGCAGTGTAAAGTTCTCTCAGATGAATCTTGTAAACTCAATAGGTATATATGTGGGATACCCTTTAACTTGCAGATATGAATAAGTTGAGATTTTAACAGGATAAAAAAAAATATTAAAAAAAAAAAAGAAAATCTGTACAAATGTAACTTTTAATGCTCAAGAATAAAAAAATTAAAAAAAAACGACATTTTTAACCCAATGAAAACAAATTATGAAAAACAGAGTTACACAGGAAGTATGTATAAAAAACAAACAAAAAAAAAACTGCACTCAGTAAATCTATAAATGAGGTTACTTATTAGCAACCATTGTTGCAAAAAGATTCCCTCTGAAGTTAAATAACTCTAAATCAATAGCAAAATAGCAGCAATGTTGTTAGATAAACTTAGAATATATTGTAGCAGTGCTATAGTATACTCAAAAGCACATACCCGTATATGTATTGAACACTAGATATCACCCAGTATAATAAATCAAACCGAAAGGGAAGGAAAACAAAGAGCACAGGAAATAAAAAATTTTTTCAAAAAAGTAAAAATGAAAACATTTTTTCCCCTAATACACTAGTGTACATATTGTGAAACTTGTGTAAGGCAGAACGTGTGACAGTCAGAATGATTTAGAAGCTGCTTGCTCGATTTTGACTTGTGTCTCTCAAGCTATAATTGGACTAATGGCACTAGTTTTCTCTCCTGTTCATCTGCACTCCTTTTACTTATGGGTTGTTTGATTTGTTCCCCAATAGGTTATTGATGATTTTACTTTTCAATATAAGGTGGACAGGAGCAGAAACATCCTTAGCAGAATTTCCACCATTTTAGAAATATAGTTGGCCGATTGTTAACCCCTTAAGGACGGAAGCAATTGTCCACGTTCTGAACCAAAAACAAAACCTTGAACATGCACTATGTGTTTGTTTCAATTTAAGGGTATCTTGTCCCCATGCATATTACATATTTTTAAAAGACAAAAAGGGCTTTCATTTAATATTCTACACATATACACCATACATTACATGTCAATAAAATTTTAAAAATTGGAAAAATGTAAAACCACCCAAAAAGAAAACATTTTTCTCTTATAATAATTTTTACACATCCAGTGCAACTAATTAAAAAGACTCAAAACAGATTAATATATCCTGATTATTAAAGAGCTAATGTCTAGGATCGAAATACATTTTCGATAATTAACGCAAACCCTATACCAACCATACTTCTTCCCCAATGCTTACACCCCATAGTATTTCAACTCTAATCTTAGCCCAACACTTTCCATAACCTTAAAACAACATTAACCCTTACCTTACACTAACCTTAACCCTATCCAATCCCTGAATGTAACCCAAACCCTACCATAACACTAAGGTAACTCACTGCCAATATCAATTCTGATATTAGAAAAGGGTTTTACTATTTAGCAAAGATGATAGTGGTCTGCGATCACCATATGCTGGCCTTTTTCAGAATTACAATTAGTGTAATGAATGAAGCCTGGTTCTTAGCAGAATATACTGAGCGGGGACAGGCTTGGTGTCCCTGCCAGGGTCTATTCAGACTTTGGAGGCTCTCCCGAAAGCAGTCTGCAGCCCAGAAAAAAAAAATAGAGTTTAAAAGGCTCTGTGCAGCGCTGATGTCTGGGAACACTAAAACATGGCTGACAAACAGGAGCCCCAGATATCAATTGATACCTGGGGTTAGTGGTGTAAGCAGGGATTTAAGTACTGATTTAGAGGGTTGGTTTTTTTGTTTTTTGTTTTTTTTTTTACTTCAGAGGAAATCATTTTGCAGCAATTGTTGCTAGTAAGTAAGCTTGTATCATCCACAATGTAAAAACCTTATATGCCACACACAAAGTAAAAAAAAAAAACCTCATGTTTTTGTAGCACAACACTTGAAGTCATAAATAAGTAAAGTGCTAATAATTGGCATTTAATAGCAACAATGTAATTTCTTCTTTTAGAAAAAAAGAAGTTAAAACAAAAAGAGTTCTGTAAAAAAAATAAACGTGAGTACATCAATGGCCTTGGTGCATAGCTTTCCATGTGTTTTCTTGTGAATTCATTTTAATTTGCAAACTGACAGACTGTTTTACAAAGACTAGTCTCATTTGAGCAGTTTAGCAGCCTACCAGTTTGTATGCCTGTTTACCAGCAAAAGATAGAATAGAAGAATTTCTTGAGCATATCTGATTGTAACTCTATAAGGTTTGCATATATATATATACACACACATATGAAACAAGGGGGGGTTGGCTGTGTTATATATATATATATATATATATATATTATCGTGGCCATGGCAAAATATGGAGAAAGAGCACTGAGCGCCTTTATTGTCTATTTCAAGAAGATTTTTAGGTCATACTAAAGACTGCTAAAAACATAATCATGCACGTGATTCCATTTTCGATGGCACTGTAACTACAGTATTTTCGTCTTGACATTATCACATGACACAAAGGCTGCTCTCGGAAAATACCATGGCTGGAATAATGTGGGATTTGTCCGTGGTGGTTGCATACTACATGCCATTTTCATCTGTAGATTGAGTGCTTCGACTAATAGCGCCATCCTTCCACTCAGTATTAAATAGTTTGCTAGTATTTTAATGCTATACAAAAGTTCCCAACCGGCAATCATCCCATTTGTGCTGTTCAGGCTCATGTGGAAACAGTAGCCTGTGCAGCAACAAACAGCTGTGATTGGCTGAAAGTGTAAACGGATAACTTTCAGCCTATCACAATGGCCATTGCTGTTATGAATCGGTATTGCTAGAAGAAAGTGTGTAATTTCTGCCTTAGCCATGCCTCCAGTAGAGGTTGGACTATGGGTGGCTAGGGATCCTCATTCAGTATTAAATTGCTCAAAAATGGTTTAACATTGAATGGAGGAACAATGCCAGAGGACTCGAGGAACTGTAAACAATTCAATGACATGATAAGGTTATAGTGCCCACAGTGTCACTTTAAACCTACTGAAAAATTTATTCATAACATACTTGTATATTCCACAAAATTCTTTAATTGTCACACAAGAGCCTCATAGGGCTAGGTGGCCACTACCACAAATAATTTGGAAGCTATTACGAAGTCAAACAAAAACCTGATTTTTGTTCAACTAAAAATCTCAGACCTCATGGCAACCTTTGGTTTTACAAATCCTTAAAGCAAGGGTAGTTTTACAGGAATATACACATAAAAAAAAAAAAAGAAATCCACGATAGTGGTGTAACATTAGGATTAGACTTGTGCATTCGGTTTCAAACAAATTGCAATTTGTTCAAATTTTGGGTGACCAGTAGGTTTTCCAAATTCCCTAAAACCATAGCATGCTATGGACGTATCACAAAAAACGAGAGAGAGAGAGATGGCGAATATGGTCATTTGCTACTTGATTTGATGTTTCGTCCAAGGTGTCAAAAATAAATAAATAACAAATAGACTGATGCTTAGAGGGCAGCAACTAAAATCAAATAGTTAAAATATATAAAGAAAAGAAGATAATAAAGTAAAAACCAACATGGTCAGCTGGACTGAACACTTAAAATATGCAATAAAGGCACAAAAATAACTAATAATGCTAAAAATCACAAATATTGATTGTGGACCAAATGTGAATGGAAAAATAATTCCAACCAAACAACTTCATTAAAAGGGCGCAAAAAAGGGCCTATCATAATAGTGCAAAATATATATATGCATACATACAAATATTATATATTGTAGTACAGTGATAAGTACATTTTTCACAGCCCTTTGGTTTATCCGAATAGGTTTTCTCAAATTATCTGCACGGACTATATTCAGACAAGCTGAACTGCTGAGTCGACGAAATGTCAAACTAATTTTTGTTTTGCCCAAACTGATTAGGCCAAACCAAATTTATCTGTGGTCTAATTATGATGCAACTGGGTAAATCTCAATTTTCTGTTTAGGAAATAAATAAACCATGTTCACATGTGACATTCAAAAATGTTGTTTGAAAGAGAGTGCCACCTATGCCTCACTGTGCCAATAACAACATAAAAACACATTGATAAATACAGCAACTACTGACATTTACATAGGAATACCCACCAAAAGAGTGAAAAACCCAGTCAATAACTTGAAGAAATCTTTTAGATTTCTTACTGAGGAGGGTACACCATATACCTCTCTCAGGGGCAATGTGGTACAAACAGGATCAGTCATAAACAACTCTTCCATAAATATCTGCTGCAATCTCTCAGCTCATGTTGTGCCCTGAAACATTTAACCCTATGCATAATGCATCCAGAGATCATTACACAAATTATGCGGCAGTACAGCACCAATAACCCGCATAATGCTGATCTCAATCTTAAATAACCCTTTGTATACCGTCCCTCTGCTTAGTACACCCAGTCACTATTACCCTCCCCCATCATTAACCCCTTACATGCTGAACACTGTCATTAATCCCCTATATATTGAATCTTGCCATTATCAGCCATCCAAGTCATTAAATTCCTGCATACTGAATACTGTCATCATTAGCCACCTACATACTCCAATGTCACCATTATCCCCAAGCATACTGCACTCATCACTAAATTCCCTGCACACTTCACTGTCACCATTAACCCTCTGCATAGAGCACTCTGACATTATTTACCCCATGCATGTTTAACCCAGACATTAATCCACCCCATGCATGCTTAACCCAGACATAATTAACCCCCTGCATACTGCACCCTGTTATCATTAACCCCCTGCATACTGCACCCTGTCTACCCCGCAAGCTGCTCACTGGTACTATTGAATCCCTGCATACTGCAGTCACCATTAACCCCCTTCATACTGCTCTCTGTACATTAACCCTCTGCATGCTGCTCACTGGCACCATTACGCCATAATCTAGTTTCACCATTAACCCTTTTATACGGTACCCTAGCAATACTATCCATTAACCCACTACATACTATCCCACATCACCAGTAGCCTCTGCATAATATACCCCATAACTAATACGCCTGTTTACTGTCCTCTATTCCCATTAACCCTCTGTATACTGTACCCTATCCCCATTAACCCTCTGTATACTGTCCCCTATCCCCATTAACCCTCTGTATGCTGTCCCCTACCCCTATTAACCCTCTGTATGCTGTCCCCTATCCCCATTAACCCTCTGTATACTGTCCCCTATCCCCATTAACCCTCTGTATACTGTCCCCTATCCCCATTAACCCTCTGTATGCTGTCCCCTACCCCTATTAACCCTCGGTATGCTGTCCTCTATCCCCATTAACCCTCTGTATGCTGTCCCCTATCCCCATTAATCCTCTGTATACTGTTCCCTATCCCCATTAACCCTCTGTATTTTGTCCCCTATCGCCATTAACTCTGTATACTATCCCCTATCACTATTAACCCTCTGTAATCTGTCCCCTATAACCATTAACTTTGTATACTGTCCCCTATAATCATTAACCCTCTGTATACTGTCCCTATAACCATTATCCCTCTGTATACTGTCCCTATAACCATTAACCCTCTGTATACTACACATCCATTAACCCTCTGTACACTGTCCCTATAACCATTAACCCTCTGTATACGATCCCCTATAACCATTAGCCCTCTGTATACTGTCCCTATAACCATTAACCCTCTGTATAATGTCCCTATAATCATTAACCCTCTGTATAATGTCCCTATAATCATTAACCCTCTGTATACTGTCCCTATAACCATTAACCCTCTGTATACTGTCCCTATAGCCATTAACCCTCTAAATACTGTCCCTATAGCCATTAACCCTCTGTATACTGTCCCTGTAATCATTAACCCTCTGTATACTATCCCCTATAACCATTAGTCCTCTGTATACTATCCCCTATAACCATTAGCCCTCTGTATACTGTCCCTATAACCATTAACCCTCTGTATACGATCCCCTATAACCATTAACCCTCTATATACTGTCCCTATAGCCATTAACCCTCTATATACTGTCCCTATAGCCATTAACCCTCTATATACTGTCCCTATAGCCATTAACCCTCTATATACTGTCCCTATAACCATTAACCCTCTGTATACTGTCCCTGTAATCATTAACCCTCTGTATACTGTCCCTATAGCCATTAACCCTCTGTATACTATCCCCTATAACCATTAACCCTCTGTATACAGTTCCTATAGCCATTAACCCTCTGTATGCTGTCCCTATAACCCCTCTGTATACTACACGTCCATTAACCCAGGGCCTGCCAGTTCCTGCCCTGTATCTCCCATTACTCTCCATTACCCAGGCTCCCTGTTGTCAGTGGCCATGCCCTGCTGCTGCCAGACTCCATTTTAGCGGATTCAGACACAAATAATCCCAGTCCCCCCGCCGCCTCACTCACCTGGCCGGCCCGATCTCCGCTCTAAACCCGGGGCACAGCACGTGATCTGGAGGAATGTAACCCGACACACCTCCTGGTAGCGACTACCAGGGACACGGCTCGCCTGGCCCAGTGACGTCAGCAGTGCAGCCCTAGCACGAGAGAAAGCCAGCCGGGGCCCTGCTAGCGGTGACGTCACGCGACGCTCGGATTGGCCGCTGGGCGCAATGTCACCTAGTAGAACTCTACAGGAGGCGGTGCCGCTGCATTTGGTCGATAGCTGTATTCACGCGCCTCGCCGCCGGGTGCCGCAGCGCCACCTAGTGTTCACTTATGGAAGCGCTAGTTAGACCAGTGGTAAAAAAGAGGCGATGCTAGACAAGTACCATTGGGGAGGACTGATAGTAAAAAGCGGCTATTGAGAAATCACAGCCACCTAGTGCCAACACGGTGTGCAGATAGGCAGGTAACAAATATATATATAATTAAAAATAAAATAAAATGTTACATTATTTAGCAATATGAAGGAGTGCACATATGGAACCTGCAAAAAAAAAAAAATAATAATAATTAAACCAAAACAGTTTATCTATTTTTTTTTTTAATGCTGACATGAGCAACAGTAAGCAGCCAACGTTTCACCCCTATTACCTGTTTGTTTGTTTTTTTATTAGAGGAGACTGGTCATGGGAAACAAGCTGTATATATTTATTTATGTTGAGTATTTTATAAGTGTATGTGTAGTACATGTATAGTGATATGTGCATTATATCAATATATGTATATAAAATAAATATGTATAAATAAAATTATGTATTACAAACATAATTTTATTTATACATATTTATTTTATATGCATATATTGATATAATGCACATATCACTATACATGTACTACACTTATACATTATTGTAATGTAATGTATATTACTACTTGCAGTAGTGAGAGCATCATTAAAGTGAGATTTCTGTGGCAAAAGCAAGTCTTATGCTTTGACTGGTGTGTGTATTTGTATTTGTGTTTGACAATGTATTAACTATCCATATTAATATGTTTATAGGAATGGAAATGGAGCTTACTGGGTATAGAATTGTGCATTTGGTTTTAGCCGAATTGGAATTTGGCTGAATATATGGGGCGATTGGCAGATTGTCCAAATTCTGCAACTCTATATTGCCATATGACCAAATAATGAAACAATGGACAAGGCCAGTTTGGTTGTTTGTGGTTTTGTCTGCCTGTTTTGCCCCTCCTTCTACCCCCACTTTCCCCCTCCTGCTCCCCCCCCCCCAAAAAAAAACCCATGAAATTAATAAATAAAATAACCACTAAATAAAAAAATAAATAAATATGATAAATTATATTATAATAAAAAAGGAATTGGCCGTATTGAAAGCTTAAAAGTCACAAAGAATAGTGGGAAGCAATTAGCTTAATTGAAAAGGTGTGAAAATTAGCCTATCACTGTACTGCCAATACCACAACTAGAACCCTTCTCTAGTTTTTAGTCTTTTTAACACAAAACAGAGGAAGTGTCTTGCAGGAGGAACAGGGACAGCATTGAGTGATGGACACTATATAACAGCATCTGCAGCTCTACCTGAGCTTTGTCACATGTATATTCAAATTGTTGATAGTTCTAAAGTTTGAATATATGGGGTGGGATTGTGTTTTTGTTTTTTTTCTGCAAACTCCAGTTAATAAATACTTCGTCTGTCTTATATTTCTGGGGCAGGAGGGGGAGCAGGGGAACCTTAGAAGCCTGTTGAAAGCATCCAGTAATCTGTGTGGCTGGCCACCCCTCTTCCTTTTGCACTTGTCAGAATCTCAGATATAACATCATGCATCCTGCTGGCCTTAACAAAAGATACTGTACAAGCATTGATGGCTCATTTTATTTCTTCAGATGCATTTTGCCTGTGCGATCATTTCAGTAAAAATGATTCTGTCGAATCCATATGGCACAAAATCTGACCAATCAGTGTACAGAAAAATATAAATACTGTGTATATTTTATTGAACAAATTTGGTTCACAGATCAAGTGAAGTAACCAATAGAGGGGAAAAAAGAATGTGTGGTAAACCATCTCTATTTATTTATTATATATTTATTATATGTATATGCATTGTAATCAAAAAGATATAGGTGGCGCTTAAGGACATATAGAATGTAAGGTGCTGCTGAGTTACCCAAGTATATTGTCACCACATATACTTAAAACATAGATACAATGTAAAGATATAAGGTAAAAGTGCACACAAGATAATAGAAAATTGTTATCTGAGATATATATAATATTTCGGTAACTGGCAGTAGGTTTTCCTTATACACACAAGGTAATAGAAAATTGTTATCTGAGATATATATAATATTTCGGTAACTGGCAGTAGGTTTTCCTTATACACACAAGGTAATAGAAAATTGTTATCTGAGATATATATAATATTTCGGTAACTGGCAGTAGGTTTTCCTTATACACACAAGGTAATAGAAAATTGTTATCTGAGATATATATAATATGTATATACATATTGTGGGTTGTTTTTTTTTTTTAGTTCCTCCTTTATCCCTTCACTAGTTACTTCTCACATGAGTTGTAAATTTATTTATTATTTATTTATAAAATATTTTTCCAGGACGAATACATTGAGATTTCTCTCGTTTTCAAGTATGTCCTGGGTCTTGTCCACAAAACATTGCATTGTTACAATAGGATACAATATTATAAAAATACCATATACAAACTATATATATATATTTATACACACACACACATATCTAAATTTAATACATAACAGGTAATAAATATATTCAACCATGACAGGTGCATTCTGTGCTGAGGTTTATTGCCATAGATCTCTTAAAAGATTTTAGACTGAATGAAGATTTGACTGTGTCCCTGAGGTTATTCCATAATTGCGGTGCTCTGTAAGAAAAGGAGGATCGAGCCACTTTATTTTTGTACTGTGGTATGCTAACTATCATGCTAGTACTGTATCAGAGTTTATAGGAGGTGGGAAGAGCTGGGGAGAGCATTCTACTCTGGTAGGGTGGGAGCTTCTAATATTTAGTAACTGTCCCCTAAAGACCAATCACGTTTCTATCAATCATCTTTTTTGGCAGTACAGATGGAATTCCAATTGAAACACCTGAATTTAATAGTTAAGAGATGTGTCCCAATATGTTTGTCCATACACTGTATAGCCCATTGAAACTTCCTGTATTGTTGGAAGGAACTGGGGAGGTTCTTACATTTTCATTTTCAGCAACTTTACAGACATTAGATCAGTGACTAGGGGCTTCTGGCAGAGAAAGTAATTTTTCTACAGGCTGGTTATCATAACTAGAGTATATATGAGCGTAAGTGAAGTTTTATGGACTAAATTTCTTACTGCAAAATACAATAAAAATGTTTATACTTGATTTGGGTATATACACATAAATACACATACACTGTCTAAGTGTATTTTAATATTAAAATTAAAAAAAAAAGTGTGACCAAGTGTCTACTAAAAAAGACTGGACATACCCCATTTGCAAGGCCTTGGGTTGTCTACTTTTGAAAATGGTATGCCGTCATGGGGGTAATTCTCATTCCTGGGCTACCATATGGGCTCAAAGGCAACTTAACCAATCTGGCGAATTTTAATCTGAAAAAACTGAAAAATGTAACATGCTATATATGACCCTGTAACTTCCCAAAATACTATAAAACCTGTACATAGGGGGTACTGTTTTACACGTGAGACATTGCTGAATACAAATATGTGTATTTTATTGCAGTAAAAGCAAACAGTATTATGACATTCACAGTTAAAATGTCACGTAGAACTAAAGAAAATTAAAAAATTCTTATTTTCTCGCATTTGGTTATATTTTATTCATATTAAATTATGTTTCATACCTAAATATTTGATGTGAAATGAAAGCCCTGTTTCCCCTGAATAAAATGATATATAATAAGTGTGAGTGCACATATTATGAAAGAGGCAAATTACGCCTGAACAGACATATAGCGCAAATTCAAGTTTTTGTTTACGTTTTGTTTTGATCACAACGTGTACATTTGGCTCAGTCCTTAAGGGGTTAAAAACACAGTTCTATGCTGGACAAATTGATTTATTATCAAACAAATCAATTTGTTTAAGGAAGAGTGCAAAACATGTCTAGTAATTAACAAAATAGACCTTAATTCAATTTCTTTTAGATTTTATCTTTATATATTTATTTATAAAATGTTTTATCAGGAAGGATACATTGGGTTTTCCATGTCCAATTTTTCAAAACAGACTCTGAATGAGCCTGAATGGAACCTGGATTTCAGCCTGACCAAACAGCTGGAATCCAAAGCTGACCAATAAAATTTGTCCCAGATTGACAAAATCTGCATCTGTATTTAAAGGAACGCTATAGGGTCAGGAACACAAACATGTATTCCTGACCTTGTAGTTTTAAAAACACCATCTAGGCCCTCCTGGACGCTCCTTGTTCCCCTAAATATAGTAACATCTTACCTTTATTCCAGTCTGCTGCTGCTGGCTCTGCCCCTGATCTGCCTGCTTGGCTGACATAATAAGAAGTGGTGATCTCAGCCAATCACAATGCTTTACCATAGGAAATCAGTGGATTGGTTCAGAGTGTCAAGGAGGCAGATCAGGGGTAGAACCAAACACAGCCTTGGCCGATCAGCATCTCCTCACAGAGATGCATTGAATCAGTGCATTTTTATGAGGAAAGTTCAGTGTCTCCATGCAGAGTGTGGAGACTCTGAATGTCAGTACTGCACACACACTGCCCCAGGAAGCACCTCTAGTAGCCATATGAGGAATGGCCAGTTGAGGTATCCCTAGGATGTAATGTAAACATTTTCTCTTAAAAAAAATGTGTTGATTACAAGAAGCCTAAAGGGAATGATTATACTCATTATAGGGCCCCCTAACCACTTGGAGCAGTAGGTTGTGCCTATTTACTGGGTGTAGCTAGGGATTGTGGAGCCGTGCCCATCTGGGGGGAGACAAAGGACCCTGATTTGGGTTGTAATGGGTGACTATAGTGTCCCTTTTTATTATAAGCTGTAGTTGTTCTGGTGACTATAGTGTCCCTTTAACTACAGCTTATTGTATTTGTTCTGGTGAGCATACCATGTCCCTGCAGCCTTTTGGTGTAAACACTGCCTTTTCAGAAAAAGGCAGT